TCTGTGGCACGTCATGGCAGTTTGCGCGGGCTTTCGCCTTTTGATCTAGCTTGCCAATGGGTGGATGAAGAAGTCCTGCGGGCGTTCCGCCTCTATGGCTACGAAGTCCCTCGTGCTGCAGGCGTATACCCACCGCTACTAACGGTGCGTTTTGCCCTTAGCGGCCGCGTAATTGGACATAGCGAGGCCGGGGAGGACCATGCCAGCCTTATTCTGCATTGTCTGCAATGGCCTATGGCCGGTCTGGTAGCCCACGAGTCGGAAGACGAAGTCTCCATCATCTACAGGTTCAGCCGGCCTTCACAGGCCCTAGGCCTACGGCGTGCTCTGGCTAGTGGCAGTTTTGCCACGGCCCTGCGCACCCTGGGACTACACCCTTGCTTGTTGGAACTGCCTGAACCTACGGTCTGGGGCGAATTTGGCCTTCCCATCTACTATGCTCTCAGTCGTCAGCTCGGCGGAGCTCTGGCAACCCTGCTACTTGCACGGGCCTCGCCCAATGTTCAGGCTTTGAGCTCCCGCGCTCGTCAGACTGTCCCTTTGCAGTATGCCATCCGCCTTGGCTCCTCTGCAGCAGTGGTCCAGCTACTTGAAGCGCTAGCCGACGTCCATGCACTTCACAGGGGAGCACGGGCCATCCCCCTTGCGGACTGCTGCGGCGCTGCGTAGTGCCCCGCTTGTGGCTCTGCTTTTGGAGTACGGAGCCGGCTTGGGAATGCGGTTGAGTGATTTGCAGCCTTTAGTAGCTAGTTCGTTTTACCGCTCTGGTTATGGACGTGATACATGCCGCGTGGCCGCCCTTCTTTTGCGTTGTGTGGATATGGTCCCGCACCACGAGGCGATACTTCTGGCTTCTGAGGTGGTTCCCCAGCTCCTCGCTGACGGTAATTGGTTTGCTTTATTCTGCATCCAATGCTGGGTTCAACGGCATCCGGACTGCCTCTGATAGTGTCACAAGTCGAGGGTGCACATTCATGTGGTAATTTGGCGCATACCCAAAGTGGTCCGTGTTCTTCAAAACAATTTTGCTTTGCCTCTGTGGCGCGCTTTCACGCTCATACCCCAGTTTAGCACGGGCCGCCTCTTCATTCTTGGAATGACTCTCTTCCTGCTGCAGCGGTTTCTCGGCTCGACATTCTATAGGTAGCGGCCAGTGGCAGGGGGAGGGGTGGGGGGGCGGTGCCGGGTCGCGGGCGAGTGCGGAACTTGCCGGCACCTCAGCGTCTGCACTTACTGTAACTTGGTTCAGTCGGCACCTCGTTGACTGATCGATAGACAGCAAGCAGAGCCTAGTTTCTGTCATCTCAGTTCTATGGCGCCCCGGCACGCGGCCAAACCTGGCGCACCGATTGGTGGACGAACTCGCTGCAAGCCGGGTAAACCCAGTCCATCGGGCAGCGTCGGTTTTGAAGCTGGTAGGCTTAGCAGCCGCGGGTAGATGCAGTGAAAGCGCCTAGACGACACTGATAGCCGTTAACAGTCAATGGTAGAGCTTAACAGCGTATGTTTTGGAGCTGGTCGGGTTTAGCAGCGTGGCAAGGCCGCTGGTACATAGAAGCGAATGATGTGCACTATCAGCGATCACCATATATCATATACGTTGAGAGTCGGAGGAGCATGTTGCTCCTGCATATATATATATATATGTATTTTTCCCATATATATATTGACGTGTGCATATGGCAGGAAGCATGCATGTGCAGGTTGCGAGCAAGGGTTCGTGTCGATCGCGATCGTTGGCTCTATTTTTTTTTGTTGCCCTGCCTGCCCATTGCAATGGCTGATGTGGAAATGGAAGACGTCACGGACAACGAATGGGGGTGGACCGAATGGTCCGACTGGACCTACTGGACCGACTGGAACGACCGACTGGAACGACGGGACACCCGAAGCTAGCAAGTGGATCGACTGGAACGACGGGAGGGCCCAAGCTAGCAAGCAGTGGCAGGGGTACAGCGACTGGAGATCCCAACCTAGCCTGCAGTGGCCAGGGTGCACAAGAGGTCAAGTCCAGACATGGTTCGCGAAGCGAGCTCGCAGCTAGGTAGCATGTTTAGTTTTTGTTTTAATCCATTGTTTTCTAGGTATAGCTGGTACCATGTATAGTTTTTTTTTTAAATTGTGTTTGGAGCTAGGAAAGTATAGATTCGTATAAGTGCAGGCTGGCACTTGCGATTGCAGAAGAAGGCGGCGAAGTTTCGGCCGCAGCGATGCATGGTAACGAAGTTTCGCCCCCGTAGTCGACTGCCGTAATTCATGCATGCATAGCAATTGTTAATTTTACCTGGAATAGCTAGGTCGGATTCCTGCAGGCGAGACTGCCTGCATGTGCCTTGGTCGAGTCGTGGCAGCTGAAATGCAGTTTGCGTGTGCGAGGGATCTGTGCCTTTGTCGCGAGAGGCATGCAGCTTGCATGTGCAGTGAAGGAAGCTATTCGTGCTCTTGGTCCGGCCTAGGGCATATGCTCCTGCAGGTGTCGTAGCTGGGTTCGTAGGCCATGACCTCCACGGGCGAGAAGGTCTATCATGCCATGTGCAACACCCTGGATCCCATGTTCCTCAAGCAGGTCATGGATCAGAATCCTGACATGGAGCAGCGGGGTCTCTTCGGTTGGTCAGGCATGCAGATGGATGGCGTCTGCGAACTTCGCAAAGAATTCTTGAAACAATTGTTCAAGATATCCAAACAAATCGTTCCTGCCGATCTCAAGCATGCTTTGGTGAGGCTCGACAATTTTCATGCAAATAGACTCCTTCGGTCAGCTCCAAACGGGTGGCGAACACTTCGGCAAGAGGCCCAAGGAATCACCAACATGATGAGCCATGTAGTAAACCGCAAGAGAAGAAACAGCGTGGACTGTTCAAGACTTCCTGCATGGATGGAGGAATTGGTCCAGCAAAGCTCAGGTTCACCGTCGAGGCCGGAACCGTCCACAGCACCGGCTCCGTGCAAGAAGGCGTCCATGATCTCCGACAAGGGCGACTTGAGCAAGGAATCCATCTTGGCAGCTTTTGGTTTTGATGAATCCCAGATCGTCGCGATCGATGGGGACAACATCGTAGAGGTTTCGAGCGAGGATGGCCAGCCTGGCAAAGGAGCAACCTGCTCCTCGAATCCTACTGCAGGAGCAGCGAGCTCTTCGAAGCCTTGGACTGATTTCTCGGAATGGAAGGCAGTCCGGATGCAGGCCGACGGCACCTTGGAGGAGCACGTGGACCTGTTTCAAAAGGACTCGGAGCCCTTCTACTTCGCGGCCTTCGCAGACGGCACGGAGTACCTCACGGAGCTCCCTGTTGGCACCAAGGATCCGCCCCCGGTCAATAAGAAGCCCAAGGCCAAGGCTAAGCCTAAGAAGGCTGCCATGAAGAAGCCCGCGTCGAAAAATCAGTCTCCGAAGAAGAAGCCAGCCTCGAAAGTTCAACCCGAAGCGGAGGCCCCAGATCCGCTTGCAGATGTGGAAGCGAAGACTTCGGCAGAGGTCGAGATCGATGAGCCGAAGGCCAAATCGAAGCCCAAGGCCGTTGCAAAGAAAAAGTCCGAGAAAAAGTCAGAGAAGCCGAGTCTGAGCTGCACGGTGAACTCGAAGTGGAGCATCATGTACTACAAGTTTCCAAAGAATGCCTACGGCATCCGTGAGAAGGGCAAGTCCCGGTTGTTTCAAATACTTTGCCGTGATAAAGATCCGTTGACAGTGAGGTCGCAGATCGTGCACCTGGGTATCCCCAAGCTCGAATCGGGCACAGACCCGACCGAGGTCAAGGAACTTTTGTTGAAGTCTGTGCACAAAGCTTAAGCTGCATGCGTGGGTGTTTGGAGAGCGGTTTCCAAACGGAGATGCCTTGGGAGTTGCATCTGTAGCCTATGCTAGCTGTTTTAAGCGGCCAGATTTTTGTCTGGAGTGTGCAATCGTCGGACGATCCGGGCCTCCAAAAGTTGCTGCCAGAGTGCCCAGCCATGCTATTTTTGCGATCTAGGCTGTCATGCATGATTGAGGTGAAGAGGAGCTGCAGTGTGCATATTTATCGAACCCTAATATATATATATATATATGCATGTTTCTACATTTTACTTATAATTTATATATATATATATATATATGCTTAAACCCCAAACCCAAAACCTTGAATCTACTCGGCCAGGTACTATCGTCGGTGGCTTCGAGGATCCCGGACAGGTGCGTTTGCGTGGGCGGCTTCCGTTGCAGAGTATATCTAAGAGACCAGGTTAAATGTGTGCACGGGACATGCATGTGTGTGTACACATGCACATGTATACATACATGCATGCATGCATGCTTGCGGCCCAGGTTCTGGATCCGGCTCCGATGCTTCTGCAGTGCAGGGTTTAGGGTTTTAGGGTTCAGGGTTTAGGGGTTTAGGGGTTTAGGGTTTAGGGGTTTAGGGGTTTAGGGAAGTTTAGGGTTTAATAGGGGTTTAGGATTTAGGGGTTTAGGGGTTAAATTTAAGGTTTAGGGATTAGGGTTTAGGGGTTTAGGGTTTTAGGGTTTAGGGTTTAGGATTTAAGGGTTATAAAACAGAAGCATAATTTCGCGATAATCCTCGACCCCGAGGCGTGAGATCCTCATCGCTCGGCTTTGGGATGATGTGCTTCCGAGGGTTCTTTTTTAATTATATTGTGGTGTATAATCTTAAGGAGCTCAGAAGCTCCTAATGTATACGATCGTAGCATGCATGCATGATGTAAAGACCGAAACCCCGACTTAAGAGCTCTGCGTGCAGGAGCTTCGTGCTCCTGAATTAAAAAGCTATAATATTTATGCTCCATATATGTGCCCAGGCCGCTGCCGGGTTGGCATCGGTGCAGATCTGCACTGCAAGGACGATCGAGCTGCATGTCTGATGTGCAAACACGTGCAGAGGTCGTTGCATGCGTGGCATTGTATCTAGAATGAAGGTGCATGCATGTCGTACGATTGCAAGCACTTGGCCCGAGACGACCAAAGCTATTAGCCCTCCCTTCGAACCAACATCCTCGGATCCATGGGGAACGACCTTGGTAAGGCATTGCAAGGAGCCGCTGATGCCGTCAACAGCAGCTCAGGACAGCAAGGCCAGCAAGGCCAATTGCCGTTCCCGAATGCATGGCCGATCGGCGTGAACCCTGCATTCCCGCCCCCAGCACCAGCACCACCCCAGCAGCAGTGGGATCCAAATGCCCAGTGGTCCACTACGAAGGGCCAGACAAACTGGGATCCCAATGCCCAGAACAAGAAGCAATCATGGGCGAAGAAAACGTGGGATGACAAGTCATGGCAGGGCTACAAGAAGGGCGGCTCCAATGAGGGCGGGTCCAATGATCACGGCTCGGGATCTGGTGGATCTGGCGGCAGCAGCGAGTACCTGCGAGCATGTAAGGCCTGCGGTCGAGCAGGTTATCTTCGGAATGGCCTATGCCTGAACGAAGAATGCGTGGCTGGGACAGCAAGCAGTATAGAGGCTACGACTATATATATATATATTAATATAGGAGCTAGTAACTTAAGCTCCTGAAATTAACATTTAAGGCCAAAATCACCAAACCCCCAAACCCTAAACCCCGAACCCTAAAATACATGAACCCTGGGATCCGAGGTGTAATCTTTCCTAGACGAAAAACAGAAAGCCTGCCACAATACAATTCCAGTCAGCTAGCATGTATATTTATTGGAATGAATTAAAATCATGCACCTATAGACGGACCCTGACATATATAGTTTTACCGACAATATTATATATATATATACATATATATAATTTCGTTGTTTTTATCAATCTACTCAATATCTTTCTGTCGTTCGAAACATTAATATATATAGCACCGAACCATTAAAATTAACCCAAAGTCTCGCGAACTTAGGCCTTGAGCATCTGGGGGCAGGAGACGGCAAGTGTCGGAAAGCGGCTCCATGCATGGGGCAACAAGGAGAGCGTGGAGGATCTTGGAAAAAAGGTGCATGGTGCCAGGACGAGACCTACCACCAGGGGAACCAAAGGCCAGAGGCACCGCTCGTGGTGGATGCAGAAATCGCCGGAAGAACAACGGATGATCAAAATCGAACAGTTCGAGAAGAAGAGGAAGGAGATGCCCGGCGTGATAGATCTGCTGGCGGAGGAGGAGGAGGAGGAAGAGACGGAGGAGGAGCCGCCACTCGACAATGGCCACCCGGATAAAAAGCGTCGCTTCGAGGATGACGATCATAAGGACAATGATGGTTCCGGCGATGGCGATGCTAAGCTGGGGCCCGTACCCCTGCCTGCGGGCAGTTGGGTGCTGTAGATCATGTTTCAGTGTTCGAACAGGATGATCCGAGCAGGCAGTTTCAAGAAAAGAACCGGTGCAGATTTGCACTGCGAGTGCATGGGATGTCCTTGCACTAGTGCATGTTTGCACTGCTTAAGATCGTGGTCTGCAAAACTTCAAGAACCCTGTGTTCAGGAGCCGTCGGCATGGACCCAGAGAGGCCGGATATGTTTGGGGCTGGGTGTCCGGGCTAAGGGCCTGGAGCAGGGTTTCTTACATTTCAGCATGCAGTGCATGTGTTCTCTTGCACTGATCGATGGACATGTGCAGTTCTCTGCAGTTGCTCCTGTGTTGTGTGTGGCCCTTTGTGCACAGCTATTCGCTGGCCCAGGGTCAGCGACTTTCGCCTGGCCGGACGAATGCTTGCCAGGGCCCAGCAGCTTTATAAATCGGTGTCTTCAGGCTTTGGGGGTTGAGGGTTCAGGGGTTTAGGGTTTAAGGTCGGGCTTTGTATTAAAATGATATATGATCTTCGGGTGTCAGGGCTGCATGATATTCCTATGTATAATTATATATATATATATATGTATACCTATATATATATATATATAGGTCATATATATATATGTATATATTTATATATATATATATATGCTACCCCCCCCCTCCAGGACCTACCTCGAAGCCTCTTCTTGTACTGTCTAGACGACGTCACGACTCCACTCCGAACAAAACTGTTATATACTGCGTAGTCTTCCCTGTCTACGACGACATTACACCGTTCGAACTAAGACAATACCACGAAGTATTGTCTACTGTCCTCTGTATGCTACGCTATTTCTGATGTTCCTTTTTTGAACCGTGATCTATAGGGCATACTAAAAGTTATTCTAAATAGTATCTTAAAAGGTATTCTAGAGGATATTCTACGAGGTATATTTGAGGATATTTGAGGTATTCTGAGGATATACTCCATAGGCGGTCTTCCGTAAGGATGTTATTCTATAGGTCATTCTATACGGTGTTCTAGAGGGTGCACCATAAGGTATTGTACAAAAGGCATTCTGCGGCCTATACGTAGGAAGGCAAACAAAAATGGTGTATTTTATTTGAAATTCATTCAGGTGCATAGAGAGGGTATTTTATAAGGTAGTTGGGGTGGTCTTCTTGGTTCCTGATTTCTTCATAGGAATCCATTGCCCAAAAGCTGCAATTCAATTGGAAATTCTCAGATCTTGGGCTCCGCCTGGCTTTCCATATTTAAAGTCCGTACCTTTTAAGGTTTTCTATAAAGGATTCTAAAGGGTATCCTAAATGGAACCGTATATGTATTCTATATGGCATACATATGGTACACAGGATGCAGCAAATAAAGGTGTTCTTCTTCAAAGTATCCTACAGTGTATTACACATGGTATTCTATAATGTGTATGTAGGGCAAATCGGTGGAATTGTATAAAAACATGCTATAAGGTAGTTTAGAAGTTGCATTCTATAGGATATGTGCAGCATGTGCTTCAGAAGAGTTTTGTTCTCTGTATGTATCCTTTGCCAAATAAGCATCGATTTTTCAAGGAATTTCTAGATCCTCTATTCCGCAGTTCCTTGATATGAATCCGTTGCCAAATAAACCACATTCAACTGGGGAACTCTCAGATCTTGGGTGTACAAGGTGTATAGGGAATATAGAATATTTTATGAGGTACTATCGTATTCTACATGAGTTTATTTACCTTTTTGTAGAAAAGGTATTCTGTAAGGTATCCTTTATTCCTCATTTCTTTCATAAATGTCCCTTGTTCAATAAGCTGCATAAAGCTTGGGTTCCTTCTGATTTACCCTAAGGCCCTAAGTAAATCCTGATCTATACGGTTTCTGTCGGATATCCCAAAGGGGATTCTCAAGAGCATATACAAGGTATAAAGGGAGTATCATTCATAGGGTTTTTATAAGACATTCTGTAAAGTTTTCCAGATGGTGTTCTAAAAGGCTTGTGTAAGGTTTTGAGGTATCCCAAGCTGTAACGTATAAAAGGTATTCTATATAGGGTGTATATATAGGACAGATTTCTATGCGGTGTTTTATGAGTTACAGGGTAGTCCATAAGGTATATACAAAGCATATACTGCATAAACTGTATATGGTACGACCTGAGTATTTTCTATGAAACTCTGGACGGGATAAGACACTAATCCATACTGAACTTTAAAAAATCTTCTTTTACAAGTAGGTTCCTGGTTTCCATCATGGGAACCCGTTACTCAATAAGCTACAACTCAGCTGAACATTCGCAAATCTTCGGCTCCGACTGATGTTCCATATTTGACATTTATCTGTAAAGTATTCGATAGGGTATTCTAATACGGGAGTCTACGAAGTATCCTATAAGATATTCTATGAGGTGCATATTGACAGGCTGTATAATACCTGGTGCCCTAAATTTTTACAAGGGAGGGGCGCGCCGACATGATCCCTATGGGAGTTAGGAGTACAGATGCGATCAAACTGTCAAGCACAGCAATCCGCTCGCTAATCTCCACTGCAGGTTTAGGGCCCTACGGTTTAGGGCGCCTGGGGATTAGGGCTCTACAGTTTAGGGCCCCTTGGGTTTAGGGCCCTACGGTTTAGGGCGCCTCGAGGTTTAGGGCTCTGCGGTTTGGGGCCCCTGGGGTTTAGGGCCTTACGGTTTAGGGAGTTGACCCGCCCCGGACTTAAAGCCCTACGTTTAAGTTTTGCCAACAGATGTGTGAAATCCGTGTCCCTTTATTTAATGCGGTATTTACAGGCTTTTTGCTCGGTGGCGGATCACTTCCGCCAGATTTTGCCCGGATCCCCGGCCGTTGTTTTGACTTGGTATTTACTCAAAACATCTGTCTTGTACAGCTGGGCCCCTCAAGGGGTCAAAACATCTAGCTTGCACGGCTAGCCTTTTCTAAGCTCAAAACATCTGTCTTCTACAGTTGGGCCGCTCCAAGGGTCAAAACATCCAGCTTGCAGGCCATGTGGCACATAAAATGGCAAACCGATATGTTTCGTGAATATTTACATGGTTTCCAGCCACCTGGCTGCATTAAAACCAGCATTAAAACAATTAATGCAGCCCGGCCCGTGGAACCAAGAACCAAGTTTCCCAGGAGTCTTGAATCCTGAATCTTGGTTCGACGGGCACCGGCCGGGTTGCATTAAAATCTGCATTAAAAAATTAAATTTTAATGCAGCCCGGCCCGTGGAACCAAGAACCAAGAACCAAGATTCCCAGGAGTCTTGAATCCTGAATCTTGGTTCCACGGCCACCGGCCGGGTTGCATTAAAATTTGCATTAAAAAATTAAATTTTAATGCAGCCCGGCCCGTGGAACCAAGAACCAAGAACCAAGATGCCCAGGAGTCTTGAATCCTGAATCTTGGTTCCACGGGCCTGGGTGCATCAAAATTTTAATTTTTTAATGCAGATTTAATGCAGCCCGGCCGGTGCCCGCGGAACCAAGATCCAAGATTCAAGACTCCTGGGCATCTTGGTTCTTGGTTCTTGGTTCCACGGGCCTGGCTGCATTAAAATTTATTTTTTAATGCGGGTTTTAATGCAGCCCGGCCGGTGCCCGCGGAACCAAGATCCAAGATTCAAGACTCCTGGGCATCTTGGTTCTTGGTTCTTGGTTCCACGGGCCTGGCTGCATTAAAATTTAATTTTTAATGCGGGTTTTAATGCAGCCCGGCCGGTGCCCACGGAACCAAGATCCAAGATTCAAGACTCCTGGGAATCTTGGTTCTTGGTTCTTGGTTCCACGGGCCTGGCTGCATTAAAATTTAATTTTTTAATGCGGGTTTTAATGCAGCCCGGCCGGTGCCCGCGGAACCAAGATTCAGGATTCAAGACTCCTGGGAAACTTGGTTCTTGGTTCCACGGGCACCGGCCGGGCTGCATTAAATCTGCATTAGAAAAATTAAAATTTTGATACACCCAGGCCCGTGGAACCAAGATTCAGGATTCAAGACTCCTGGGCATCTTGGTTCTTGGTTCTTGGTTCCACAGGCCTGGCTGCATTAAAATTTAATTTTTTAATGCGGGTTTTAATGCAGCCGGGCCTCTGGTATAGTCATGTTCGTATACACTAATCTTCGTACACCCAGGTCCATGTTGCGTGTGTGTGTGTGCGTGTGTGTTTGTGTGTGTGTGTGCCTAGGTGATGGGGTATGGTATCCTGTGTGTAGGCCGACGGGTTTGGAGGTAGGTCCTGGGGGGGGGGGGGTACCATATATATATATATATATATATATATATATATATATATAATAATAATCCATATATATATATATGTATATATGGGATATATAGCTAGCAGCTTGGCGAGCGGGTTTCTTTCATCGGGCACAGGGGCTTTCATTCGGGTTCTAAATGTTTTCCAGCTTAAAGGAGCCCATGGCTCCTGCCATGACGAAGCCACCAAAGCTTAAAGCACGAATCACGATGCCACCGTAAATCCCCGAACACCACAAACACCGAAACCCTAAACCCCGAAACCCCTAAACCCTAAACCCACGAGCCACCAGAGCTTAAGACCAGAAACCATGTATTACGATTGAGATCGATCACCGGGTCAGTAGAAACCCCAAGCGGCAACAGCACAGGTTAAATCGAGGTTAAATTTAACCTCGATTTAACCTCCATTTAACTTTCAATCAAGAGCTGTTACAAAGTTAAGTTAACGATTTAACTTAAGTTAAACTGAGGTTAAATCTAACCTCCATTTAACCTCGCATCTGTTTCTTGATGTGTTTCAATAATTCATTATCAGCCCGCACAACAGTGGCAACAGATCAGAAACCGTTGCAATTGTTGGCGACCAATCCTATATACGTACCTTGGAAACACGAGCACCCAGAATACACCAGCATCCGAAACCACAGCAGAAAACCATACTTAGCCCCGGCCCTTGCCTATAGGAGCCTGTGGCTCCTTACATGCACAAGCTGCCCATTGGTCACCATCCCAGGTGCAACGTGCCCGAGTTCTGCTGGCCTGCCTGCTTGTTTTTT